TGGTTTTGACACTTGCTGCGATTAAAAAAAAAATGTCGATTAATGTCAAAATTGGAAAAAAAATAAGTGAATGTTTGGTATGAAAATAATGTATAGCACATAATGAGAAGGCTATCGAATGGAATTAAATAAGTAATATTTTACAAATTTATGTAATTGAGAAAGAAAGGTAGGTGGGGGTAATTGATAAAGTTATTAAATAAATGTCAAATATTGAGAATATATTATACTGCAGTGTATTTATGGGAAGGTTATTTTTATGATAATATCAAAAAATTAAACTAATCATGTTTAAAAAATAAATAGAATTTCATAATAAAAACGAACTTGACAAATTACGTTTGGTATGAGAAGTCCCATTTCCAATTAAATCAATTAAAAATTCTAATTAAAAATTCTAATTAAAAACCAATCTAAAAAGGCAGAACTGATAACGAAATATTTCTAATCACAGATATTTCATCAAATGTCTAATCTTTTGACTTATTCTAAGTCACATACGGTAAATGCTGCCTCTTCATTAAATAAGAAACTAATTCTTTAAATCATTATTATGGATTCTCATTTTTTGATAAAGGTAGACACGTTCAAATTTAAAAGTAAAAACGAATTGCGCTGCCTTAAAAGAGCAATTCTCTCCCTTTCATAAATCTCAATAAATTTATACTGACTAGCACGTTCGTTGTTTTCAAATCCCGCTTAAATTTGAACAAAAAAATAAAAGATTCGAAGCATTTATCGACTGTACTATAATAATAGTCCAGTCATAAAATATAATTTTTCCATGGTAACATTCTATGATAGGTCTTCGATCTTCTTAAAGGTAGGGAGGAATATATGCTTTGATGATAGATTACATAGTTTTTATATGCATAACTTCAAAATTACTGGATGTACAAAAAAAGTAGATAACCTTTTTTGTAGACAATTTTCATAAGAGCTATTTTTACCTTTAGACTAGAAGGGCCTGAGATAGAGGAGAAAATTACAATTTTTGTTTTCTCTATAAATTTTTCGACACTCTACCAATTTGTTCATTACAGAACCAATAATTTCTTACATATATGACTGGACTATAAAACCAACAATCTAAAAATGTATCACTAATAACCCCGTTTCGATTATTCTACGATATAAATGCATTCATTTTAAAAACTAACGACTAGTAAATTTTACCATCAAATTCCTTATACAGCGTCCCAAAAATCTCCAATCAAATCACAAAAACAAATTTACAAAAAAAAAAGACAACGGCAGCTTTATAATAATAAAAGAATCTATTTAGACACACAATCATAAAGGGTGGTATTCAAAATGTTCACTAAAATAAGAACAATTTGAGAATAGAGATTTGTATTTGGGACATTCCGTATAAGTGGATATTTTAAATTTTGAATATTCCTTAGTAATTTTCTATTTCTATTTATTTTTAATTTGGTTATTATAATTATTGTGATGTATAGCTGAGATTTAGAATAAAAATGAGAGGTTGCAAGGTCCTAATTCTCAATACTACATCCAACTTATAGAGAAGTAAGGTAAACAAAGTATCCAGCAAAAGCTTTCTGGATTGGTTACATTTTATAAAGCGAGCGATTTGAATTTGTAACAGGTATGGAATAAAAAATCAGTGTTCTATTGTGTGTGCAACGTTATAAGTTGATTGATGTTTCGTTTGTTTTGAGTGGTTTTCAATGGGATTTTCTTGTATAGGTAGTGTTTAGTTTTATTAGATTTATTTTTTAAGCGTAATCGTATTATTGGAACAATTTGTGATAAAGACGAAATTGTATTATGGCGAAGAGACTATTTAATAAAAATAAAAGCTTCTAGGCACAATTTATTACTTTGAAGAGCCATGGTTAAATGCTGGCCATACTAAATTCAAAAAATATAATTATTTAATAAAATCGATTATTTTTTTATAAAACCTTAAATGCGATCATGTTTACTAACACCGTCAAGTTATGTCTGTGTGTATTTTCTTTTGTTTAACTTTGATATAGTAAACAATTTGCGGATTATATCGTAATGACAAAATATCTCGTATTGAAGAACTCGTTATGACGAAATGTAGACAGGGAGGTTCGAATAATTATCTAATAATAATGCTGATATTTTAAAATTGGGGTTTGATATAGGGAATTATTATATTGCAACGTCTCATTTGAAATTTATTTTTATCTTAAAAATATAAAATTGAGGAAAAGTAATTGTAGATAAATGCCTATTTTTGAGTAAATATTATGACTAGTTCTAGGTGTATAATCTCGAATTAAAAAAAAAAAAAAAAAAAAACAAACGAAAATGAATAAAAATATATACAAAAATATATTTCTTCCCATTTTTGTGTCTTACGGGAAAAAATGACAAGAAGTCCGTATAACAAAATTGAAGTTGTCATTGGGCCAAAATCCGCATTCCTATTCTTAAATACTAAAAAACATTTTTAAATCGTTCTTAAATCTACGTTATAGCATTTTTGGGACGTTTCAGTTATGTATTGACTTAACACCAACCAATTTAGGTCAATGAATATTACAACAAAAAACAACCTACCGGTTTCAACAAGCTTTTCTAACTTATAAAGCTTCGAAAGAATGACTTTTATCCTATAAAAATTGAGCTCCCTACGCGCTTAAATCTAAAATTGAGCTTTCGGAACTTATACCTTATTATTAAAAGCATGTTTTTATTACTTACTAACTAAAACAATTTCAAAAAAATACTGTGGAATAAAATTTCAAAAGTATTTTAAGGAAAATCGATCAAAATATCCATTTTTTGTTTTGTTTACGGGACAAATTTGTATAATAAATGATATTGAAGCATCAGTCACTTCAGTTACCTAAAACGGTAAACAATGGAACACTAGTGATTTGAGTATCAAATTGACAAAAAGTTATAAAAGTACTTAATTAAAAAATGATAAAAATTTAAAAATGAGTTATAAAATGGAGAAATCTGCTAAAAATAGTCTAAAAACGAATACGAATCCTTTAAACAGATTCTTAAAAATAATTCAAATTCAAACTAACATTTGATCTGCTACTATTAAATGCAATTTTAAATCGATAAATATAATTTTTCAACTATATACACAATAAATCCAAAAACTATAATTAAATCGGCTATTTAAAAAATAACAAGTCAAAATAATTAAATTTTTAGTAGGCACAAAAAACATTTTTATATAAAAATTTCATTTCATTTAAAAAATATATATTTTTTAAATAAGGTACCTCAGTAACTAGAAAACGCAAGTTAAAAAAAATAATCTTTTGTTTTTGACTTATTTGGTTTTTAAACGGAACATTTTTTGTCCATGCAAAAAAAAACAAGTCGTCATCTTATGTGGTATTTGTAAGTAATGCAAAAATGTAAAAAGGTTTATTAATCCAACGGTTAATATGATTTCTGTGATTTTTGCACATCACATAATGAGAAGGTACCCCTAACAAGACTCTTTATAACATAAACCTAATTTTTGCCAAATGTTGACTTATGTGGCCTTTTCATGACCGATTTAATTGGTACTAGTAATACTTATAGACTAGGAAAATTTGGTGTTAATATGTAAAATACTATATCGATGAAAATAAATTAAAATATAAAGTGAGACACCAAAAAATTGTGAAGAGAAGGATTTTTACAAATTGCATTTTAAATTACAAATGCAAACATTATTAACAAATGCCACAAACGAGGAATAAGATATCAGAAATAGTGTAAAATAATTCGTCACGGCCGAATAAGAATTCTAAAAAAAAAAAAAAAGTTAAACCCTAAAAAATTAATTAAAAAGCACACCCTTTAACAAAAACATACAAAAATCATCAAAATAGATGCCTATAAATACAAACAAGTTCAGACATGCTTTTATCATCAAGACACTACAATTGACAATTCACTTCAGTCTGGCAACTACTGTTGAATTATTATTAACGTTTCTCTGCTACAATACTTGATTTTTCGCTACATCGCTACAAAAACCAAAAAAATAATTAAAATAGACAATAAGCACAGTAAAATAATTATTTAAGTGCTTTTTTCACCAAAATAAAAGCTGTCATAAACGATTCTAACTTCAATCTGTTGTTCAAGGGTTTTGACATTACCCATTGCAAAATTTGCTTTTTCCTAAAAAAAAATACGACAAAATAAGTATTTATCACAGTAAAAAAAGGAAAGTGATTTTCCATCAACAAGAGAGCTGTAATTAATGATTTCCACATTAATTTGTTATCCGAGGTAATTTTTGATATTACCTGCTAAAAAACTTGCATTTTCCTAAGAGAATGGTCTTAACGATTCCCACTCATTTGTTGTTCATTGATAAATTTTAATATCTCATCCACTACAAAACATGCTTTTCCAACACCATAACAACAAATAAGTCGTTTAAAACACTTAAACAAGTACTAAGCTTCTTTCTGCATTAAAATGGAGTCAGCAAATAATGATACGCACTTCAGCTTGTCATTCCATTTTCCTGCTACAAAACTCGTTATTTTTCGAAGAAAAACAAAGGAAATAGTTAAAACACATGCTTAGAATAGATTATTAGGCTGTTATTTAATCAAACGCGAGCTGTAATTGGGCAAATGATAATATCCACTTCAGTTTGTTATCAAAGAGTAGCCAAAAGGTACATCCGGCTACAAAACTTGCTTTAAAAGGTCTGGTGCAACACAGGCGAAAACAATAATATTACGGTACAAATCATGCTCTGTATACAATTTTTGTGTAGAGCGTATGATTTGTACCGTAATATTACGGTTTTCGCGCATGTTGGAACAAACCTAATGTAACAAAAAACCTATAATCATCAACATAAACACTAACAAGTACTCAAATTCTTTTTCCATCGAGTATATAATCGATGAAACCTATCTAGAATTGGCGCCCAACATGTCGAATTAATATCTCCTTGTCACCACAATAGATATTTCGATCGATTTTCCCAAAAAAACAACCTCAAACAAATGACTATTTAGAGACTGTCGAGTCTGATCAACAACGGTTCAAACGACGATAAGATCACAACCTTGGATTTTCTCTTAATTTTACTATTAAAATTAGTAACGGAATACTCGGATCAGGGAACCATCACGCGACACAGCGACGGGAATACCTCGGCTTGGATCGGTCCGTAGTCCACCAGCTCCCCGTCGACTGTCATGTAGCCCTCTTCAGACATATCGGGTTCTATTCTAAATGCGTTCACCGGGATGAGTTGGACTAGACCTTCGAAGGATTTGGAGGTGGCGTGAGCCCCGGTGCTTAGACCTAATAGGAAGTGGAGCAGCTGGGATCTGCTGGCACCTGCTTGGACGATTAGTAGCCTGTAAAAGAATATAATTCAATACAGTCTGTTCAAAACTTTGTTAAGGGGTAAAATAGTGAAAAGATTCCAGAAAACTAAGTGATCTTCGAAGCAGTTACAATTGCATAAATATTTTGCAATATATTGTGACAGCTCACAAAATTGTACAATTTTTTATCCTTTGCTGGACTATACTTTTTGTTCCTGTTTGTACAAGCCCAATATTGATAATTATATATTTGGTGGACTATAACTGGCACTAGTTGCACTTATATCCCAGGAAAATTGTACATAAATTTAGAGACTAAGGTTCTTTTTAATAAACAAATTCAAAACATAATAAATGAACGTATTAAAAATTGTGGCGGAGTTGAAAATATGCCAAAAAAATAAGATTGATTGAGTAGGTGATCTGCAAACCAGTTTTTGAAAAATTGGCATATACGATAAACCTACTTTAGAACGACAAATAGCTGTTTTTCTTTAGACATAAACAAGTTGAAACTTATGGTGTTTAAAGTTTATTACCCCATGCTGCCATGTTTACTGGCAGTTGTGTAATGGTATGCATATTATACTTTTTTGTTCTGTTGCTGCTAAGTTACGTATTATTTTAAAAGAATGATTTCAAAAGGAAAAATTCTTTTTTTTTTTCGTATAATTCAGAAACGGTAAGGGATAGTCATTTTATTGCTTTCAAAATTTAGGATACTATATTTGCTTCAGCATTCTACTTTTCCATTTACCCACTTTAAACATTTCTTAAACAAAAATAGAAAACGATATATACTTCAGTAAAATAATTGTAAAATTTTATTTAATGGATTATTCAATTCAAGAATTAATCATCGTACTCACCAAATTCTGCCGTCATTCAGTGTTGCATCGGGAGCGAACAACAAATCACCGCCCAGATGGCTCTGATAACAGGCGTGCACCAAAACGAATCTACCCGATATGCACTTCCAATCAGACGGGACAGGAGCCATCAGCCCCGGTATTTGAGAAGCTGGTCCGTACATGCGGGGTTTTTCTTGAGGGCTAGAATTCACGCCTCCATCAGCTACCGCTTCTTCCGCAGTAGATTGATACGAGCTGCCGGTCGCAGAAAAGTAAGCGCTTCTTCTCGAGTTTGCGCTGTACCATGAGTCCACTCTCGCTCTGCCTGGAAGAAGAAATTAATTTGTCCAGGCTATTGTTGGCAAAAGACCAATAATCGGTAAGTAACGATACAAAGTGACTAGTAACTCATGGTCAATGTTTTAGAAGATATTCAAAAATGTGTAAATCCTGCAGATTTAAAAGTATGCATTAATGGTACAAAAAAAAACTAAGAATGGTTTAATTATAAATTGTGATAATCAAAAATCTCTGGATAAACTTAAAACTTCGATAAATAATCAACTTGGTAAGAAATATACTGTCAGTGAAGCCAAAAAGTTTAACCCGCGACTTATTATAAAAAATGTTGATATAGATGAAGATATGTCCTACGAAGAAATAGCTAACACTATTTTCTCTCTCAACCAAATGGATGCCTTTAGTTCCTGTGATCTTAAAATTGTTACTGTGCTAAGATATTCTCAAAAGACATATTGTGATATTGTTTTGGAAGTTTCCCCTTTGTTAAGAAACCATTTGTTGCAAAAATATTTTGTGAGGGTAAAAGGATTTGTCCTATTTGTGCAGACGAGCACTCTATAAAAGATTGTAAAGCAGATCATAAGAAATGTAGTGTTATATTCATAATAGTAAGTACAAAACCAGCTTAGATTGTAATCACGCTGCCAAAGATATAAGTAAATGTCAAATTATTCAAAATTATATATCTAATCTAAAAGTTAATATAAAATATGAATAAAAATAATATCTATAAGCATAACACTTTAAAAATTGGACATATTAACGTTCGATCGATCTTAGCTGGTTTTAATGACTTTTCGACTATTGTTTGTGATAAAGATTTTGATATTGTAGCTGTGTCAGAGACATGGCTTAAAACTGATATACCATCTTCTCTTATACACATTAATGGATATAATTTTTTTCGATATGAAAGAAATAGCCGTGGTGGTGGAGTTGGAGTTTTTGTCAAAAGTAATTATCACTGTCAAACTGTCACATCTGGGCAAAGTGTAGACTTGGAGTATTTATGGGTTAAAATAAAAATTAATAGCAGATGTGTTTCAGTTGGTATTTATATAGACCACCGAAAGGATCTGTGCCAAATTTTATTAATTTGCTGGATGATATGTTGACATCAATTGTGCCGCAATTTGATAATATTTTTGTAGTTGGTGATGTAAATATCGATTTAACTAACGCTGACAATAATGTAAATCGTTGGTTTGAAGCCTATAGACTAAAACAAGTCATTTCAGAGCCTACATGCATCACAAAAACCTCAGCTACGCTATTAGATCCTATCTATATTGAAAAATCTAAAATTTGTTTGGTAAGTGGTACTCTAAACGCTGATATCTTTTCTGATCATAGGTTTGTTTATTGTGTTTTTAAATTTAAATGTGTAAATAATCGACAAAAGTTTATTACCTTTAGACATATTAAAAACTTAGATATGCATGCTTTTAATAATCAATTAAATAATATACATTGGCTTGATATAGTTACTGTAACAGATATAGAAAACAAAGTCAGATTTCTTACTAATAATATTACTAAATTATTTGATACTCACTGTCCGTATAAAACAATAAGGGTCAGTAAACCTCGATCTCCCTGGCTAACAGAAAATCTCAAACTGATATATAATGAACGAAATAAAGCACTGTCTCGTTTCAAGCGCCTAAAAACGCCAGAATCTTGGAATAACTATAAACAGCTCAGAAACTTTGCTCTTCTTTCTACTAGAAATGAAAAAGCTGCCTACCTTCGTCATGTAAGTGCTCAAGGTACATCAACATTTTTTAAAACTTTGAAAATGATGAATATACAAGCTTCTAAAAATAATGACATACCATACGAATTAGCTGATCCATATAAAATTAACGATGCCTTTATCTTAGTTTTTCAAAACAGTAATGAAAACTGCTTTGAAAAAATTGCGTACTACAGAACAAATAAATTTAATTTTAATAAAACATTTGAGTTTAGCCTTGTTGATGTTGACACCATCTCCAAAACTATAGGTGCAATAAAATCGAATTCCAGTGGCGTAGATAATATATCTTTAGAAAGGCTTAAACTTTGTATGCCAGTGATTTCTATTTATATTACGCACATTGTGAACTGTTGCCTTGAAAGCGGATATTTTCCTGATCAGTGGAAAAAAGTAGTCGTGGTACCTCTTCCAAAAAAACAAATCCAACTACTTTTAATGAATTGCGTCCTATAAGTTTACTTCCTATTCTCTCTAAAGTTTTGGAGAGAATAGTATATGAGCAAATCTATGAATTCTTTTCATCTAATAATATACTTCCGTTGCATCAATCAGGATTTCGAAAAGGGCACAGTACCACCACTGCTCTTTGCCACTTAACGGACTCAGTAATGTCGGGATTGGATCAAAAACAAGCCACAGCCCTAGTGTTACTTGATTATACTAAAGCGTTTGATACTTTAAATTTAAATTTCTAAATGCAATTATTATGGTTTTTCTGAAAAGCCACTATCTTTTATAAAAACACTAGCTATTGCTTGCGACTTTTCTCGTGTTATTAATATAAAAAAATATGTGACTTCCTTTTTTATTAATTTTTATTAATTTTTATTAATTTTTATTTATTTTTATTAATTTTTATTAATTTTTATTAATTTTTATTAATTTTTATTAATTTTTATTAATTTTTATTAATTTTTATTAATTTTTATTAATTTTTATTAATTTTTATTAATTTTTATTAATTTTTATTAATTTTTATTAATTTTTATTAATTTTTATTAATTTTTATTAATTTTTATTAATTTTTATTAATTTTTATTAATTTTTATTAATTTTTATTAATTTTTATTAATTTTTATTAATTTTTATTAATTTTTATTAATTTTTATTAATTTTTATTAATTTTTATTAATTTTTATTAATTTTTATTAATTTTTATTAATTTTTATTAATTTTTATTAATTTTTATTAATTTTTATTAATTTTTATTAATTTTTATTAATTTTTATTAATTTTTATTAATTTTTATTAATTTTTATTAATTTTTATTAATTTAATTTTTATTAATTTTTATTAATTTTTATTAATTTTTATTAATTTTTATTAATTTTATTAATTTAATTTTTATTAATTTTTATTAATTTTTATTAATTTTTATTAATTTTTATTAATTTTTATTAATTTTTATTAATTTTTATTAATTTTTATTAATTTTTATTAATTTTTATTAATTTTTATTAATTTTTATTAATTTTTATTAATTTTTATTAATTTTTATTAATTTTTATTAATTTTTATTAATTTTTATTAATTTTTATTAATTTTTATTAATTTTTATTAATTTTTATTAATTTTTATTAATTTTTATTAATTTTTATTAATTTTTATTAATTTTTATTAATTTTTATTAATTTTTATTAATTTTTATTAATTTTATTAATTTAATTTTTATTAATTTTTATTAATTTTTATTAATTTTTATTAATTTTTATTAATTTTTATTAATTTTTATTAATTTTTATTAATTTTTATTAATTTTTATTAATTTTTATTAATTTTTATTAATTTTTATTAATTTTTATTAATTTTTATTAATTTTTATTAATTTTTATTAATTTTTATTAATTTTTATTAATTTTTATTAATTTTTATTAATTTTTTATTAATTTTTATTAATTTTTATTAATTTTTATTAATAATTTTATATATATAGATATCTTAATAATCGTTCGCAAAAAGTTTTACTAAATAGTCAATCATCAAGTTTCCTATCAATTCAATAAGGAGTTCCGCAAGGTTCCATTCTAGGGCCTTTGCTATTCCTTATTTATACGTCTAATTTAAACAAACAAATAGAAACGTGCAAGGTCCAATTTTTTGCTGATGATACTCAATTACATCACACTTTTGATGATAATAACTCTAATGCAGCACATAATATAATGAACGCTGATTTATCACGAATAAACACATATTCTGTAAACCATAATTTGCATTTGAATGCTTCTAAATCTAAGTTAATTTTATTTTCGAATACCAACTCACGTTCAAGCATAAAAAGTAATATGTCAATTAAAATTGATGACGATACAGTCCCGTGTGTAAATGTAGCTAGAAGACTAGGCTTACTTTTAGATGAGAACATGCGGTTTATTGAATATGTGAATAACCTCTCTTCTCAGTGTTATTTAACATTAAAATTATTATTTGCCAATAAGTATATATTGTCACAACAAATGAAAAAATACCTTTGCGAAACTCTAATATTGAGTAAAATATTATATTGCATAGTAATTTACTATCCTTGTTTAGATTTAGTAACTTCGAACAGACTGCAAAAAATTCAAAATACCTGCTGTCGCTTTATTTATGGGTTGCGCAAATATGATCACATTTCAACATATTTTAGGCAGCTGCAATGGTTAAACATCAAAAACTTATTTAAATATCATCTTCTCTCTTTTGTTCACAATATACTAAAATCTCAAAATCCACCATATTTGTGAACTAAATTAATTTCTCGTAATCAGATTCACAATGTAAATATCCGCAGACTATTTACACTAACAATGCCACAACACACATCTGTTATTTTTGTTAGAAGTTTTACGTACAATGCCATTAAACTTTATAATGAACTAGACGATGAGCTAAAAAATACTTATTCTCGATCAAGTTTTAAACACAAACTAAAAAAACTCCTACTCCAACAGCAAGCCAACAATTAATACGTTTTTTCCTATATTTAAAATTTTAATTTATTTTAATTTTACTACTTTTATTATTGTTTTTATATGTTTTCTAATGTTTTAACCTTATTTGTGTATTGTATTTTAACATTTCAACATTTTAATACTTTCTGTTTTAAATTAAGAGGAGTTAGATGGAAGAATAGCCTATGGCTAAATCTCGCTCTATTGCTAAAATTTTTGTAATATTTTGAAAAATTATCAATAAAGACGGTTTATTATTATTATTATTATTATTATTACTATTTTTTTATAGATTTCTTTAAGAGCGACACCAAACATGTTGGATACTAC